GTGTTCTAAAGTCAGAGAAGCGCCGCTCAAATTCACTTAGTAAACGGCTAACTTTGGTAGCCAGCCGACTGCAAGGAAAAGTACCAGAAATAGTGGTTGAGATACTCAAACAAACGGGAAAGTGGGCAAGATTGTCCTGTTCCAGTTGGGACTTCCATAGTTGAAGTTTACGCTGGAATGCTGTGATCATGTCAGACATCTTCGTGATGACTTGTTTGCGTCCCTGCAGCTTCAGATTCAGCTGGGCGAGATGCTCGCATATGTCACACATCATAGCAAAATCACATAGCCAGGCGGGATTCGACAGTTCAGGCAAGGGCTTTCCTTTACTTTCCATGAAAAGAGCAATTTGTTCTCTGAGCTCAAAAAAATCTTTTGAGGACTGCGCTCTTGCTCAGCCATCTTACTTCTGTGTGGTATGGCACGTCTCCATGCTCTGCACCCACCTCCTGTAAAAATTGCTGGAACTGGCGATGATTCAGGCCACGTGCCCATATAAAGTTAATAGTTTTAATGACTGTGGTCATTATGTCATTCATGTCCAGAACTTTTCCACACATAGCCTCTTGGTGGATAATGCAATGATAAGTAATCAAGGGTGTGTGGCAGTGACTTTTTTGCATTCTTTCCTTCATTAGTCCAACCAAGCCTTTCTTTTCTCCGCACATTGAAGGTGCGCCATCAGTAGTTAGCCCAACCAACTTTTCCCAGGGTAATTTAAAATTATTTATAGATTTCTCCACAGCCTCAAATATATCTCTACCAGTCGTCGTCCCATGCATGGCAGCTACATCCAAAAGTTCCTCAGTGACAGAGAGGTCGGTCTTCGTAGCACGTATAAAGATGGACAGCTGCGCTGTACCAGTGTTGTCTGTGCTTTCATTGATAGCAAGTGAAAAAGAGAGATAACTGCATGCCTGTTCGGCCAGCTGTGATGATAGATTTCCTGAGAGTTCTTGAACTCTATCTGCAATGGTGTTTCTTGACAAACTGACATTTTGAAAACTCTGTATCTGGTCTGGGCATACTTGCTCACACACTTTTAGCATGCATTGCTTCAAAAAGGCACCCTCTGAAAAACACCTTGAAGTACGGGCAATTTCTTCAGCCACTATAAAGCTTGCTTTCACTGCAGCATCATTTTTCGCTGTAGCCTTTGTAAACATTTGCTGCTGTCATTGTAGTTTGCCTTTTAGTTCTTTAACAATTTTATGCTTTTCTTCCGAAGTATTTTTGCCATACTTAACATTATGTTTGGTGTCAAAATGACGACGTATATTGTACTCTTTCATCACCGACACTGTCTCATAACACAATATACACACTGGTTTGCCCTCTCTAAGCACAAACATGTATTCATTTTCCCATTTGTCATTAAATTGTCTGCCTTCACCGTCAACTTTTCTTTTCTTGGACATTTGGGATCAATATTGGCAGTAAAAGATGTAGTTTATTGGAAATCTGCGTTAGAAGGAAAAAGTTGAAAACTGCACAGGGATAGCTTGATTTGGCAGATGGAGTGGAGAAAAAAAAAAGTCAGTCAATAAATGCCTGGCTGGGTACAGATAGCAGATTCTGTTGCGATTTTTATGCCTGCACTTTATGCCAGGAACTGGCAGCTTCTGCTGTGTATTTTTTATGCCCGCACACTCACTCTCTCCTCTACTCTGCCACCCGCACAACCACATCGGATGCTGGACTATAGGTCACGCCTCCTGAATCTCGCGTGACTTGTTATCTATGGGCATGCCTAATAGATAGCAAGTACGGCGGCCAGCGAGGCGGCCAGTGAGATCACAAGCCTCCTATGTCACTGCGCGTCATTGTGATGGAACGCAGCAGAGTGCAGTGATGACAGCGCGGTGCGGGCCACATTGCAAGGCCTGGTGGGCCGGATTTGGCCCTCGGGCCTTGTGTTTGACATGTGTGGCCTAGAGCAAAGATTATCCTTACATGATAATATTCTACAAGGTCCTTATAATTTTTCCCAGACTTGTGTTATCCCCATTACCTATAATAATACCTCGCACCATGGGGTATCAACAAAAAATCATATATATATTTGTTGGTGCTTGGAGACAAAGGTGATACATCACTAGATATTTTAGAATTACAACTGCATATTGTACAATTATCCCAAACAAACTTACAAACCAATACTTTGAATGTCTGGCAGCAATTTAAAAACGACATGAAAGGACTTCATTCCTTCCATTGTGCAGAGGGCCCGTGGGGAAGGCACCTGAGCATTCTATATTGGCCGGTCTTGCTCTTTTGGCCAAAAATGACCCTCTTCTCATGATCCAGGTGACCACAACTGTTACCTGACTTTTCAGCTCATGCCAAAAGTGGCTGGTACCATGGATCTCTCTCCTGCCCATTGGGGTAAGCTGGACCTTCTTTGGAGAAGAAACCTGGGTTCCCAAAAATATGAGATCACGGCCCGGGCCTCAGCAGCAGGTGAGGGGTCCCCAAGGCAGGTGCTGGAGCCCATAGGGGCATAGGCTACCAAGGAGTCAGACCAAAACTCACATCACCCTGCTTGGCCCTGGAGGATGGCTGGTTAGCCAGAGACGGGTAAGATTCCTCAGGGAAGTAACAACCTAAGACAAGCACAGTCGCAGAGGGGCCATCAGCAGAGAACTTGGGGGTCAACAGAGGTGGAGCACAGACCCTTACCACCACTCCCCCCTGCAATTTGGCAGGTGCCTGAACCTTCTCCCATTCTTAGGGAGGTTTCCTGCCCCATGGCTGCTTAGTTTCCCATGCACAGCTCAAATTGGGACCCAGGTAACAGACAGAGACTTGGCTGACAGCAGCTGCCCTCTCAGTGCAATAAGACTTGTTTGAGAGGCCTGGTACCCATGGTGTGGAAAAGAGGGTTTTAAATATCTAAATCCAGCCTAGTACCAGGAATGTTCAGGCCCTTCTCAAGAAGGTAAATAATCAATTCCACTAATACACACATGGTAAATAAGATTGTTGCTAGAGTATTGAGTTTGACAGTTGAATAGTAGCCAATTTCTCAGAGGAAATTAATGTGGCTAATGGAAATAAATGAATATTCTAGAAAAATTGATTGTACTGTACAAAAAGCTGTTCCTAAAGTGTTAACAAAAATTCTTATTGGCAGAGCATCTCATGGTAAAATTGCATAACATGTTATGAACCTAAAGCAGTCATAGTTTAGCACAAATAATTAAAATGTAAAAGCTATCATTATCTTGCAAATAACTTACATCTAAAAAATTTGTACTTTAGAAAATTAACCTTCATTCGAAATGCTAACAGAAAGATACCCATGAAAATACACACATGGTGTCAAAACAAGCCAGAGGAAAATCATTTGGGGGGAAGGGGGAGAGAAGAAAAAGGATCCCAAGTCAAATTTATAGAAAATATCCCTTTATTAACTTTTGGTTGAGAATATGTTTGTATATTTTCAGAAAACAACTCTGAGACCATCTGGAATCCTATAACAGAGAGGAATAGACAGAAGTGCTCCAGCCACAAAGACAGAAGAGAAATAATTCAGAAATGGAAGACGCTGATGACACCTCGCCATACCAGCAGACAGCAGCTGCGTGTTGCTGAAGGATGCTCAGGACCAAACCAGAGACGGTTGAATCTGCATCACCACTGTTTGGCCACCAAACAGATCTGAAATAGCATGGCTGACATGTATACATAAGGAACTATTTGACATTGAAATTGGGACTCAAAAGAACTGTTGGTCCAGAAAGGAACTCACTACAGACTGATTCATTTGCCTCTCAGCATAACCATTATGGATTTTCTCAGTTTAAGTTCTTACAAGGGTATTTCTTAGATCACAAAATCTCATACATCTAGAGGAAATGATGAACAACATTGATGAACAAAAACAGACTCTGAGAAACAGAAGTACCGAACAGACTTTCAAACCTCAGAGGGAAAGTAGGGGAGGGTGGGGGAAAAAGGGAAGAGATCAACCAAAGGACTTGTGTGCATGCATATGGGCCTGGCCAGTGGTCATGTACAAGGAGGGGGAGGAGGGTTGAGGGCATATGTAGGGAGGGGTTTGAGATGGGATTGGGGGGATGAGGACAATTATGTGATACCATAATCAATAAAAAAAATGGGGGGAAATCAATAAAATATATTAATAAATAAATAAATAAATAAATAATCTGATGAACAATATTAACTGGTGAATATTATAGAATCAGAGGTATGGAAGGGGCGTGAACTGATGATTCTCAGAGAAAAAGGGAGTCGGGGGGAGGGGGAAGAGACAACATAAACTGTGCACCTATGGATGAGGAAAATGGGGGGTGGGGAAAGGGCAGAGGTTGGAGTGGGAACCTGGTGGAGGGGAGCAATGGAGGGGGGAAAATGAGGAACATTTGTAATAATATGAACAATAAGGATTTATTTAAAAATAATTAAAAAAAGAAGAAAAAAGAAATTCTAGAAAGAGCCTAGAGCAGTGGTCAGCAAACTACGGCTCGTGAGCAACATGCGGCTCTTTGACCCCTTGAGTTTCTAGCAAAGGCCAGCTTAGGGGTACCCTAATTAAGTTAATAACAATGTGCCAATTTATATAGTTTGAGTTTAAAAAATTTGGCTCTCAAAAGAAATTTCAATCCTACTGTTGATATTTGGTTATGTTGACTAATGAGTTTGCCAACCACTGGCCTAGAGAAAAAAAAATCTACCACATTAAAATTTTGTGAAGAAAAGTTATGGGTGACTTTATCTTTCTAGTAAAAGCATAAGCTTTTGTTTAAGATTATAAATTACTCCTGTACTATAAACATAGATATTCATTTAAAAGTACACTACTCAAGCCAATTTACTACTAGATAGAAGTGAACATTATTTTTTTTTTAGTTTTAATTATTAAATAATATACCTCATTCTTTTAAAATATGGCTTCTTACAAGAAATTTCTGCATTATTCTCCTAGATATCCCTCTTACTTGGTGTAAGAGAAGGAGATAACACAGAAAGTGGAGAAAACATCCTTGGGAGAAATTCTCTACAAATTCCTTTTTCCTTCTTACCACAACTCATCTGAAAGAATGGAAAATCAAAAACAAAACTAGAATTTCTTACCTTGATTCAGCTCTATGGACTGACTCCAGTTGCCAGTCTCATGGGAGACAGCGCAGGACACAATAGACACATTGCCATCCGCCCAGTGGCACATGCTCTGGACAGTCACTGTGCCATTGCCCCAAACTTTGTGCTCAGGGACACAGTCTCCCGCTGGGGTCCAGGAGATCCGGGCAGCCTGCCTCCCCGCAGCTGCCTTGCACACCGCAGTTCTATTCTCGCTTTGAAACAGAGTCATCTCAGGGGCCACTGCAGGGATGAAGAAGTAAATGCTTAAGTCCTAACACATTAGACATGGAATTTAGAGAGGAATTCCTTTAAGTCCCAACTCTGGTTTTCTGAATCACCCCAATGTACAATGTTCCTTACCTAGCACTCGGAGGTGATAGTTATACTGGAAATTCCCATCAGTTGTTACCACTTCACACCTGTAATACCCCTCATGAGTGATGGCCACTGGGTCAATCTGAAGGGCAGGAATCTTATCAGGTCTGTCTGGCCAGGTCATTCTCTTGTCAGTGCAGTTTGTTTCTATGGTCTCATTTGTGTCTCTCCTGTGGAATCTGATGCAGAGAGGCTTGTCTCCAAGGGTTATTTCCCATGTAGTTAAAAGCAAATTTGTCAACACGATAGGAGGGCAAGAGAGGTTAGCCTTTGTATCCACCAGCACAGGCAGGGAAGTATTAGCTGGACACACACACACACAGAATAAAAAAGAAAAGCTTGGTAAGAACTTCATGTGTTATATTTTCTACATCATATTACATAAAGTTGTACTAGCCCATTACTTGGCTGGTGGCTTTATTCCAAAAATATGAGACTTAAAAAATTAAACATTCACAATATGTATATAACATGTTAAACCTAATTCAAAGATTAAGTCATTTTCTCCTATATTAGGTTATTAGGTAAACAGTGTATGTTACACGTGTGAGAAAAATTTTAAGTATTTTGAAATTAATTCAGAAGTTCCAATATCTGTGAAAAAAAAACAAGAAAATGAAATTCTCAACTAAAAGAGAAACACAATGAAACTTATACTTGGAGACTATTATATTTATTTTATACCTCATGTTCCTTGGGGTAGAAAATGAAGTAATTAGTGATGTGCTTGTATTCTTCTAAGTTTTATGAGAGATAATAAATCAGTAATATCACATTACTGTGTATTACTGAATGCCTATCCCTGAGGGTGACACTTCAGATAAAAATAAATATGAAAATGTTATAAAAAAAAATAACTAAGATGGCATTCGAGTTGAGCAAGTTAGAAATTTTTTAAGTTCTTTTTTTTTTTGATAATCAAAAAGTCAGCAAATTCAACAAGCCCTTCCTTCTTGAATTCCTTCCTTCCTTCCTTCCTTCCTTCCTTCCTTCCTTCCTTCCTTCCTTCCTTCCTTCCTTCCTTCCGTCCTTAATTCTAATTGTACATAAACCCAAAGAGATCAACTATAAAAATTTTTCACAGATTTTGTTGCCATAAGCTCTAATAATGAGGATTAAATATAGAAATTGACTCCTTTTGTTCATTTTTTTTAATTAAAAAGTCCTACAACCTACAAGTATTTTCCAACATGGAAGCTCACATTTTCCCCATAAGTTGACATAATGTATCTATGACTGGTAAGCGTTTGCTGAGAGGTGACTAGGTTTGCCTGTTACAGCTCACCTGTAACAGAAGTGTCAGGAATTTCATCACTTTAACATGAGCTGTGTGGTGTGGCAAAATTTTTATGAGTGAAACTTGCTTCTGCTAAACTCTGGTTAATCTCTCCTCTGTTGGTGTCACCTGCCTCTTCTGTGAAGTACTCAAGCCTTTGAATTTCACAGCCAAATAAAGATCACTTAACTATATATTGTAGATGAGGGAAGGAGTGGGAGGGGTGGGGGGGTAAAGCAGATCTGAGACGCAGTTAAATATGGAATTTAAAAAGATATTTATTTCAGTCGCAAATCTGGTTATCTGAAACTCCACAAGGTACAATGTTTCTTACCTAACACTTGGCTTTTTGGGAACCACTAGAGTTAGATGTGGGTAAGCTACATGTGCATGAGGGAAAGATGCTGAAGATAAAAATAGAAAGAAAAGAGACTGGTGAGGACTCAAATTTAAAGGCTCTCAGTGAAGGTGTGTAGGGCCAGGTCATTTGAGTCTGAACTTTAGTTTATAAACACTATAAGGCTTACTGTTTTGCCTAATATTTATCCTCATTATCTGACACTATTTTTTTCAAAGGACGTACTAGGTAATCATATAAACATGAATTTTAACTGGGCCAAGTATGCAAAGTATTAACTCCAATAGCAAGGAATCTAAGTATGGTAAGTATTCTGTGTTTTTTCATCTTCCTGCATTATATAAATTTCAATCAATCACTATCTCCTTTATAATGATAATTCTAACTCAGTGGGTTTGGCAGCTGTCTACCTCAATTATTCTCCATTCATTCCTGTAATCAGCTAGGGTGATTTCTCCTCCTACTTCACTGAGGAGGGAGAGGGTAGATTCCCATATTTATCCCAGAACCAACTGTCATATCTCATTTCTTCTGAATCCTTTGTCTATAAATATCTCCCAGTCTTACTCAGCTACCATCTCCTAGTTTAGTGGTCAGCAAACTGCGGCTTACGACCCACATGAGGCTTTTTCGCCCCTTGAGTGTGGCTCTTTCACAAAATATCATGGCCTGGGTGAGTTTATTTTGAAGAAGTGGCATTAGAAGAAGTTTAAGTTTAAAAAATTTGGCTCTCAAAAGAAATTTCAATCATTGTACTGTTGATGTTTGGCTCTGTTGATTAATGAATTTGCCAACCACTGCCCTAGTTTAAATCTCCATCACCATTCATTCAGATACTTCAAAAGCCTCCTAATTCTAACTCTGTCTCAAAACTCTCCTGTTTTCAGTTCATACCTTACATTGCATCCAGGTACATCATTCTGTAACACAGATCTGATTCACTCAACTCTGATATTCTTCAGAGATCTCTCATTGCCTGAAGAAAACATTTAAATGCCCTTGTATTTTTACTCAAAGGCATTTAAATGTTTTTTAAATGCCTTTACACAAAGGCATTTTTTTCCAAATGACTCGCCTTCCCATCCATCACTCCCTTCATTGCTCCCCCACTTCAGAAAGAAAACTCCAAGCACAATTGCATTTCTGTGTCTTTCGTCACATGTTCCTGTGGTCTGGCATGCCCTACACAATGGTCTTTGTCTATTATAATACTCCTTATTCTAGCATTTCTCTTCAGAATGTGCAAATCTTTTGACTTTTTTATTCCAATACTCCTCTTCCTTTAAGACCCAGTTCCCGTGATACAGCCCCTGTGAAGCCCTCTCTGAGCCTTGGTGCTCATAGCTCCCACCCCTAGACTCTGGCACACTTGGTATGACAGTAGTGCCCATGTCATGTAATCCCATATAACTGAGCTCCCAGGGGCTTACTCATCTTGCTCATCTTTGTGTTCCTGGTAAAGCCTAGATGAATGCCTGATAGAGAAAGCTCCACAATTTTCCAATGGAATTCAATTGCTTTGGGCACAGAGGGGCAGGGTTATTCAGGGTCCCTCACCACACAGCATTGAGATCACCATATTCTTCAGCTAGGAAAAGGCTGGCCCTCAGCCCAGACTATCAAGTATGTTTCTAAAGAAGTTCAATACTCCATTTCTTCAGTACTGGCCTCTAGAGAGAAAAAAGTATATTACCTTCTGCAGGATGTGTTACCAATAAATGGTTCTGCTTTCTGTCCACAGATGAAACTAGAAAACATGTTTAGGGGAAAAAAGAAAAAAAAATCAATTTTAGGTACTTAAGTCAAATGGGAGACACTTTTCTCCACAAAATATTATATACAACATGATTATAAACAGTCAGTTAACCATAACTAGTTTACATTGAGAGCCTTGTAAAACAAATTAGAGTTATTTCATCATTAAATGGGAAAATATGTTAACATTAGAAAGTTACATTTATAAGCTCTTAATGAGTTATTTCCCATTTATGGGACACCTTCTATTGTACTAGAGGAAATAATGAACAACATAAACTGATGAACAAAAACAGACCCAGAGAAAGCTACATGATCATGAGCTCACATTACAAAATTGCAAAACACAGGATTAAATAAGCAGCTACATAATGAGATAATGTAGTCTTTATTGGCTGCCTTCTCTTATTCCTATAAAGAAAAATGAAACTCCAATATTTAGATATTGGAATTATTAAAAGAATGTTATAAAATAAAATTTTGAAGATGTATAAAGAAGTAAAAGAGAAAACTTTCAAAAATACATGGTCTCAAAAAAAACCCAAAAAACAAAAAACAAAAAAAACAAAAAACACAATCTATATCTTGCACTCTCCCCTTCAAACAAATTTTGAAATCTTTATAACTTTTGCTCTAAGCATGTTTTACAAGCTCGGGAAAATTTTTTTTAATTGATAAATTATTATCATTCAGATTATTATAATTGTTCCTCTTTTTTACCTCCATACCTCCCCTCCACCAGTTCCCACCTCACCCTATACCTTTATCTCCCCCCAATGTCCTCATCCATAGGTGTATAATTTTTGTCCAGTCTCTTCCCGCACCCCACACCTCCCTATGCCCCCAAGAATTGTCAGCCCACTCCCTTTCTATGCCCCTGATTCTACTATACTAACCAGTTTATTCTATTCATCATATTTTTAATTCACTTGATTTTTAGATTCATCTGTTGATAGATGTATATTTGTTTTTCATAATTTTTATCTTTATCTTTTTCTTTATCTTCCTTTTCTTAAAAAGTACCTTTCAGCATTTCATATAGTATTGGTTTGGTACTGATGAACTCCTTTAGCTTTTTCTTATCTGTGAAGCTCTTTATCTGACCTTCAATTCTGAATGATAGTTTTGCTGGGTAGAGTAATCTTGGTTGTAAGTTCTTGCTATTCATCACTTTGAATATTTCTTGCCACTCCCTTCTGGCCTGTACAGTTTCTGTTGAGAAATCAGCTGACAGTCATATGGGAGATCCCTTGTAGATAACTAACTGTTTTCCTCTTGCTGCTTTTAATATTCTCTCTTTGTCTTTTCCTCTTGGCATTTTCATTATGATATGTCATGGTGTGGTCCCATTTAAATTACTTTTGTTGGGGCTTCTGTGCACTTTTTGAACTTGTAAATCTATTTCTTACACCAGGTAGGGGAAGTTTTCTGTCCTTATTTCTTCAAATAGGTTTTCAGTGTCTTGCTTTCTCTCTACTTCTGCCACCCCCATAATTCGGATGTTGGTACTCTTGAGTTTTCCCAGAGGCTCCTTACACTATCTTCATATTTTTGGATTCTTTTTTCTTTTTGATTTTCTGGTTGAGTGTTTTTTGCTTCTTTGTATTTCAAATCTTTGACTTGATTCTTACATTCCTCTAGTCTGCTGCTAGGTCTCTGTATAATATTTTTTATTTCAGTCAGTGTATGTTTAATTTCTAATTGGTCCTTTTTTATATCCTTGAGGGTCTCGCTAAACTTATCAGGTTTTTCTAGGATATTCTTGAAAAACCTTATAACTGTGGGTTTGAACTCAATCTCCAGTTGTTTATTTTCCTCCATTTCTTTCGTTTGTGATCTGTTTTTTGTCTCTGCATTTTCATTGCTTCCCTGAGTTGGTAGGGTATCTTTGTGTGCTAGGTGTCCTATGTGGCCCAGTGGCTCAGCCTCCCCAGTTACCTGAGGTGAACATTCTTGGTGCACCCCTTTGTGGACTGTATGTACAGTCTTGTTGTACTTAAGTCTTTATTGTTGTTGGTGTCACTAAGAGGAATTGACCTCCAAGCCAATTGGCTGTGAGATTCAGCTGTGTCTATGCTTGGAGAACTTCTATGCCTTATGAGACAAGACTTGCAAAATTGCAAAATCCTCTGTGCTCAGCTTGGATGGGGCAGAGTCTCAGGGCTGAGCAGACAGCCTTGGCTTCCCATCAGCCCTGCTCTATGAGGCCCCTAGGTCTCAGTGTCCCTTGGTAATCGCTGCAGTCCTCTCTGCATGCTCTTGTATGCATGCCTCCAGACCTCTGCTTTTCAAGGATCTCCTTAGTTACCATGTGCTCCTCTCATGTCCCAAAAATCCATATTCCCTCCATATGATTCTGGGTCCCCAACGTCTTCCCAGAGCTGGGGTTCAGTGCAGTCATAACTGGGGTTCAGTGCAGTCGGGAGCTTCCAACTCCCTCCCACTACAGAAAGCCAGCCAGGCACTCAGCCGCCCGTCCTTTTCTCATGTGTGTCTCTGTACCTCAGCTTTTTGCAGCTCCTCTGCGTCTCTGTGTGCCCCTCTTTTTTGTTCTAGTTGTAGAATTTTCACTCAGCCAGCTTTCCTGTGGGTCTAGATGATGTCTGTTCTGTCTTTTAGCTGTAATTTTGAAATAGTTGTGTGAGGCAGTAGTTTAGGTGTTCACCTATGCTGCCATCTTTGTTTCTCTGGGGAAAAATATTAATAAGATATCTTCCTACCTAGGACATCTAACAGACTATCTCCTGGAGAGCAAACAAACTGTAACTCTGGCATCTGATCAACTTTAGCCGAAAATTCTCTTCCCTTTCTTGTGACCAAGCAACAGTAGCCATTAGTCTTTAAAAAGGGAAGCCACCCTTTGTTTATTGTCCTGTATTAACTAGGGATACACTTAGCCCTTTCCTCTTTTGGAAAGTAAAATAAACTTTTCCTTTGCATCACTTCTTTTAGTTGTGAATTCTTTCACAGTCCTCATCACTGGACAAACCCTAACAAAAGAGATATAGGTTATTAGAAAATGATGAGTGTTGGAGACAATAAGGAAAAATTGAAATTCTCACAAAGTGACGGAATGAATTAAAAATGGTTCAGTTGCTGAAACCAGTTTGGCTCAGTTGTAGAGCGTCGGTCTGCGGACTGAAAGGTCCCAGGTTTGATTCCGATCAAGGGCATGTACATTAGTTGCGGGCACATTGCTGGTGGGGGGTGTGCAAGAGGCAGCTGGTCGATGTTTCTCTCTCATCGATGTTTCTAGCTCTCTATCCCTCTCCTCCTCTCTGTAAAAAATCAATAAAATATATTTTTAAAACAAACAAAAAAAATGGCTCAGTTATTGAAAAACTGGTTCTTTGAAAAGATAAATGAAATTGAAAAACTTCTATCCAGACCAGCTAATAAAAGAGAGGACATGAATTACTAATATTAGAAATGAAATATGGGACATCACTACAGATATCAGGGACAATAAAATAATAACAAATAAAATGCTACTTGCAACTAAATGCTGAATTCAACTTTATACTCACAAATTTGATAACTTGTTTATAAAAATTCCTTGAAAGACACTCTCTGCCAAAACACACACAAGACGAGAGAGATAATATGAATAAGCCTATATCTATTTTTAAAGTGGAATTAATAATTACTAATCTTCCAAAAGAATACCAGGTCCAGAAGGGAATATTGGTAAATTCTTACAAACATTAATGAAGAAATTATACCAGTTCTCTATAATATCTTTCAGAAAATAGAAACAAAGAAAACTCATTCTATGAGTCAAGTGTTATCCTAATATTAAAACTAAAGAAAGACATTACAATAGAAAAAAACTACAGACCAATATCTCTCATGGACACAAATGCAAAAATCCTCAAGAAAATATTAGCAAATCAAACCTACAATGTATAAAGACCAAGTGAGTTCTATTCCAAGTGTGAGTGATTCAACATTCAAAAATCAATTATTGCAATATCACATCAACATGCTAAGGAAGAAAAATCATTGATCAAAACCAAGACTCATTCATGAGTTAAAAAAAAAATACCTCAATAAACTAGGAATAGAGAAGTATTTCCTCGGCTGCATAAAAAATATCTAAAAAACAGCAACAATAAAATCTACAGTTAAAGTCATGCTTAATGATAAGAAATTATAAGCTTACTCTAGGAAAAACACAAGGATGTCCCTTCTTCCTTTTGCCATCTCATAAAGTATTTCTCTTTCTCTGGTGGGTTTATTTCACTTGGTATAATAATCTCCAGGTCCAATCATACTGTCACAAAAGGTAAGATTTTTTTTTATTATGGCTGAGTAGTATTCAAGACTCCATTTTGAATTTATGCTTATGTATGGTTTAAGAAGGTGGTCTAATTTCATTTTTTGAATGTTTCTATACAATTTACCCAACACCATTTGTTGTATAAAATATCCTCACCCCATTGTATGCTTTGCCTGCCTTTGTCAAATATTAATTGGCCATAAAGGCCTGGGTTTATTTCTGGGCTCTGTGTTCTGTTCCATTGACCTGTATCTCTGTTCTAAATTGCCAGTAGCATGCTGTTTTAATTACTAGACCTGGTATGATATCAGGTAGCATGATTCCTCCAACTTGTTCTTCTTTCTCAAGATTGCCGTGTCCTATTTGGTGGGATCTTTTGTGGTTCCGTATACATTTTTAGAACATTTTGTTCTAGTTTTCTTAGATACACTATTGGTATTATATTTAACCTATAGATTTCTTTGAATAGTATGGGCATTTCAATTATGTAAATTCTTACTATCCATGAACATGATATATGCTTCACTTATTTATATCCTCTTC